TATCGAATACAGATCTAGCATTCTTTTTACGACCGTACGTGTGTCTGTGCTGTTTCTTGCAGTATCGAATACAGATCTAGCATTCTTTTTACGACCGTACATGTGTCTGTGCTGTTTCTTGCATTGCCGAGAAAAAGTCTATGGTTCTTCTTCCGATCGTACGCGTGTTTCTGACTGTCCTAGTTGATTTTGTGCTTTCGCCAAGCCCACTTTTTCCACTCCGGTGTGCGCATCGCTATCTTTCTGTGCAAAATAACTTGAGAAGTTTTGATCTAATTCTGCAATATAGTTGAGTGTCACCAAGGGCTAACTTTTGATAAATGTACGTCAAAGGTCAAATTCACACTGAAGGTCAACCACTGTCGTTATGGGGACAAATTGAGATGTGAACAGTCATAGCACCTAGACCTAAATTTGTGTGAGTGAGGAATTGTTTAACATATATTTTACGTTTGTTACTGCAAAACTCCAAATCACTGTAAGGCGTTGGCTGCATTCTATCTATGTCTTTTTGGTTTATTTTCTTAATTCTAATACAAGGACGTGAATACTGTTTGATTTTTTTTATCATTTGTGTATCATATTATCTTTTAAAAACTCAAAACACTGAATTTAATTAAATACGTTTGAGTTATATTTTCCGTATTTAATACTTTAATATATGTCTAATATTCTTCACGGTAAATCTTATTTATAGTTTTGTTTAATTTACAGTATTTGATAAAGGTAATAAAATTTACAGTTTCTACAAGCTCAGTTTTCCTTGTTGTTTTAATTATTTTTCAGGATCAAAAATTCTACATACATTCCGTAAAAATTACTGGAAAAAAGTCCAACAGCGATTGTGAACAGGTAAACTTGATGATATTCTGTTTACTTTGAAATTATGTTTAGTTTTTGTCAGTATTAAGTATGTGTGCTTGAAATGTGCTCACGTTCAGGAATAGAAAGAAGTATCGATAAGCTCAAAGTCAAAACTTTCGTGAAACAAGCTAATCTCGTAGATTTCAAATTATTATAAAAAGTTTCATTTTTTAATTTTTAACCTGTAAAGAGACTGCAATATACTGTTACGACAGCGGAAGTCACGCAACGCTGGGAGCATGCGCGCTGGAGTTTCTCGAAGGATCATGAATTTTCCTGGCAACTCTAGTTTGTTCCAGGCGCCCCTTTTTTTTTAGTATTTAAGCCCGGCAAATAAAGCCAGCGAAAAGGATAGAATTGCATAGATAGATAGACATAGATAATTGAGTCAAGCGAACAGTAGGCACCGTAAATAAAGTGTGTGAATCTCTGTGAATTATAGCGTGTGTTTATAAAAATAGTTAAGATAAAGTGACTGTGGAAATTCTATGTATTACAAAGTTGTATCGAGAAAGAATAAACTAGTTTTATTTAAGAAAGGACTTGTATTGCTAAAGTTCCTCGGAAAGAATTTGTACCGGAAATTAACAAACGAACAGAGACGTAACAATACCGTGTATTGAAGTTGAAGTAGGCCTCATTCAGTTGAGGCAACGTGTATTCAACAACGGTGATATTCTGTCTAATAAAACTGGAGTAATGTTGTTTTGTTAGTTGCAGAAAGATAAATACACGTCGGTTATCTGTGCTAGCTGTCCCTAATTTTTAACTGTTAGAGTAGAGGGAAGGTAGCTAGTCAATACCACTCTATGTCATCTCTTGAGCTACTTTTGTCAGATCAAATAGTGTTATTTAAACGTATTCTTATGAAGCAATCATGATCTCAAACTTCGAAGTACGATTATATTTTAGCAGTAACGGGATACGAATCGCAGAAACTCGGCTGCATAATCACATACGTTAATCATTTGACCGCACTCATCCCCTGTTTAGTAAGTTCGAGAATGAGAATTCTGTCGGTAACTGAAATACAACGTATTGTTGTAAGCTGTAATTTTTATGTTGTAATTTATGTGTTATCTAAAGAGAGCTAAGGAATTTTGATGATGCAATATGACGTTAAGTTCAGGATATTCCTAGAAATATTTAGAAAAAGGGTAAATTATGAATATACAATGTTCCGTGAAGCATCGGTTTAGTTGAAATAAACCATAATTATCGCACTACTTTCTACAGTAAATTTATTGATTGTATGTTTGTTCTAGTCTGTTATTAGAGAAATATAACGTTGTTTGTAAATGTAGGTCTAAACAATTGACGATAGTTTAAAAGTGGTTTAAACTTGTAAAAACATGTAAAGGAGGAAATGAATAAATTTTGTCTCATTGAGTAGAGTGGACATTTGAAAGTTTTCACTTGATAATTTAAAAGAACCCATAAAGAAAGAACTACGTTACAACAGTGTATTAGATTTAAACTCGATGATGAAACTGTTCAATAGTGGTGAGCAATACTATCTTCATATATATAAACTTTAAAATGGGGTTGTTGTTGTTGTTTTTTTAATGCACACAAATCTACACAAGATCTGTCTTGGCTAGCAGTCCCTAACTTTTAATTAGTAGATTAGAGAATAGGCAGCAAAGTAACATAACCCACTGCCAATTTTTGAAATACTATAATCAACTAGCGAGATTTGACCATCACTTTAATAATGCATCTATGGCTCAAAACTATGGGTTCATAACTTTGTTGGTTACTAGGTCTCTAGTAGCAAATGTACAAACTACACACAAAACGTTCAACAAAAAATAGCACCTTTATATTGTAATTAATCCTACTAATTATTGCTGAAGATCTCCTATGCATATTATACATACATAAAATGATTAATTTCATCCATTGTTTCTTATCAGGAAAAACAAGAACAGCAGATAATTACTGAACATGACACAAGTCTTCGACCCATATGTTTATGAACAGCATAAAAAGTTGGTAATTTGAAGGTTGATTGGTAGTTTATCACTAATGCCGAGTAGTTCCTGTATAGATTTTAACAGGTAATATCATCATCATGCTGAAGAGTTCAGTTCATAATTCAACTGAATAGGCCATGAGCCCTATTTTAATTTTGCTAAATGTATAACACTGTGCTCTGAGGATGGCATGCGCCCCTATGTCATTGTTGGACAATCACATTGAAATATAAGGAAGTCTTAACATTGAGACATCATCTGACCTTCTATTGGAGGACACTGTTATTAATATTCTTGTACAACCTATAGCATTACAAACATACACGTCATGGGCATAACAATTGTTAACTCCAGAAAATGAAAGACAGCTATAACGAAATCACCTTAATATCTTTCTTGACAATGCGTTATATGAAAACTGCAATACTCAGAAATACCTAAAAAAATTCTGAATCAATATCATTAATACGAAAAGGTAAGTATACGTGGCACATTTATGTACCACAACAATATCTATTAAAATTGAGGTAGAATCCATTAAGAGATGGCAATACAGAGTTTTTTTACTGAAAGTTGATATAATAGACATTAAGTAACATTGATGATCTATTTACATTTGTTTTGTACAATTTTTGCACAAACCTACTAGAGAATTGCCTGTGTTAGCCATTCTTAATTGTTTTGTTTGTTTACTGTTACTAATGCGTTGATCTATACTTTAAAAACTGTATCGACACATCTTAATGGGTTCTACCCCCCACTTTAATAAATGATGCAGGACTAGAATAGGCTGTTTGTAAAGACTCTCGACTCTCAATATGAAGGTTGCAAGATCAAATCGTGTCACCAAATATATTCACCTGTGGGAGCATTATAATGTGACAGCCGATCCTATTATTCGTTGGTAAAAAGAAGTCCAAGGTTGACAGTAGGTGGTTTTGACTATTTGCTTTCCCTCTAGTTTATCACTTAAAAATTAGGTTTATATAATTATAGAGTATCACATTTGTGAGTTAAATTGATTTCTTGAACCTATGTGTTTTTCTAACGTCATGAGGATGGCTAGTTCAGATAGCCTTTGAGGAGCTTTGGATGTGATTCTTGCATTGTCTATGAAAGTTGAGATACGTTTGGATTTAATGAAACATTGTCCATTAAAGGATAAAGTATGACTCGCTCAGTGACAGTAATACACTTGTCTACTAAAACTGAAATAGGTTTTTGTGATTTCAATACATCATCTGTTGAAAATAGTTGATTGCTATACAATATCTATTTGAGTAGAGCTAGGAATTTTTTGAAATTATATAGATGAGGAAAGCTGTGTCCAAAAATGATGGTTCACTATGTATTTAATTTGTTAGAAGAATCTATTCAACAACAGCGAAATACTATTTACTAAAGTTGAGGTTTAACCCATTATGTTGCACTGACACAAGCAAACCTTATAAAATTGAGGAAGAAAAAAATTTGGGAATGTGTTAAAATTGACCTGAACTCACTCAGCAGTGGTGATATATCTTCCGTTGAGGTTCTTTCTGGTTAATATGCAATAAGTAAATTTGTTTTTCATAAGAAAAAAAAACGACTGAAAGGGTAAGCTTATGTAGTATTTTCTGGCTCATGGATGTATTCCAGAGCAAGTAATTAGGTCCATTAACAGGAGTTTCTAAGATATCGAGTATTAAAGACTATTTTTCCCTAGTTTTCAACCAGGTACATTGCAAATGGAAAGTAACAAAACAAGGATGCAATACACAAATGTGTAATTGACAAAGAAAACAAATTCAGCATAAAACAATACAAATGTCTGGTTCCTTTGAAAACCCAGATTCCTTTCTAATTCAACATAAAACAATACAAGCAAACAATGCCTAATGCCTTCAACTTAAGGAAATGTACAACTAAAAATAACTCTACAGGAGCTCTAAGAGCTCTTGCATCCTTAGACAAAGAAAACAAAAATCAGCATACACCCATACTGGAACTCTAAAATTGTGAAAAAGCTGAAAATGTCAAACAACTTTTGAGCTTTTTAGGAAAACCTAGCTTTATATATGATAATAAATCTACGTAAGTTAATGTATACGAAGCCAAAATCTGTGCCAGGGCCCACAGTGTGTTTGTAAATTAGGACGTGGCTGCCTTCAGGTATGATTTCATTTGTGAACGAGAAAAACAACTTTTTCTAGCTAAATAATGAGTCGACATTTTAGTAGGAATAATAGCAATGAAGAAACACAATAAACGGATCAAACTGTCAGATGTCTTGATATTAGAAAAACTAGTTGTACTTCTCTTCAGTCCCGAATGCGTGACGTGACGTTGGGACTTTAAAGTCAGGGAGGTGTTTAACTTAATTGTAGAAAATTCTTGTTGATTTCCAATTAATTCGTTGGCCATAATCTCTCGTGGGAATAAACAAAATTAATTGTTTGTGTTTCTGTATTTAATGTGTTTTTTTTTAATGTTCAGAAATTCTCGTGTCATCACATCTGATTTTTACCTACAAAACTTTCCCACAGTTTTGACATGGTATTGCATAAACATCTTGTTTTTTTCGTTTTCTTAATCTTCAGGTTTTGTTCGCTTTGAAGTTAGTTTATTTTTAATGGTTTTCGAATATTTTTATATAATTCTAAAGTTATTCTTCCCAAGATTTTCTCTAAGGGCTCAATAGTACAATAACAGCATAATTATGAAGTACAAACACACATGAAGAAGGCCTCAGTATTAAAACCGAAATATTGTCTCCTGTTCTTTCAACAGGCAATTTTAGACCTTAAAGTTCTCAAACCTACCATGTCTACTCTGTTTATAACTCCATTGAAACAATACTTATTTTACTCTTCTAGTGAAAAACAAAGTTGAATGCTTTTGTGAACGTCTAACTAGATTTAAACAAATAACTGCCAAAAATACAGTAATTTAAAAAATCTATACGTTAACTAAATCATAAATGTGTGGAAAATACGTAGTATGATCGCATATTACTCACATGATGGCCTATCATATTTTTGGCCGCGGCTAAGCAGCTCATAGAACGGCTCTAAATTTTTTTATTTGTTTTTTCAAGTACAAACTTTTAGCTCATAGTTCTGTCATCTCATGACCGATTTGAGATCTAATTATAGTTTTTGAATCAGGAAGTATTTGACCACGCCCACAGTCTCGTAGATTAATTTATTCTAATCCTGCCTAAAAGAATTTCAATTTGATGGTGGGCCGGTAGAGATCCTGATGAATATTAAAATCGAATCGGGTATACGCACACCCCGCTTGGTGTTGCTGGCGCACAAAAATATGGCTAATAAAAAGGGTAAATAAAAGTTGTTGATATCTGAACGACGCATAAATATAAGTTTGTATGTATTATTAAATAAAGAAACAGAAAAAAATAATGTTGAGTGAACTAGTTTAGTCAAAACTCAAGAGTGAAGTTTGAAATCAAGAACACTTTTTACTAGTTCTAGTTAAGGCAAGACGGGCTGGCGGACGGCAATCCCCCCCTCTAAGTGTTTAGTATCATTTGTTTATTTTGTGAACAATACATTTGTAGAAAATAATAATTTGTTGTACATGAATATTTGTGAAATGATTTAGGAAATAATTAGAACAAATTCTTCAAAATTCGAATGTAAACTGGTGTTTCAATTTTAAACTTTAAAAAAAAACTGACCAAGAGCATCCAGATGCCTAACAGTCATCATGGATCATCAGTGATTTAAACAGAAGATATGATGATGACAAAACCTTGTCGAAACGTTGTACATTAGCTGTTATGTTAAATTTATATTAAAGTTTTTCTTCATTACTCATTCAAGCTGTCTCCAACCATTAATAGTCTCAAAGTGGGTTCCTGGTCAACTAATTTGAGAACATATTATTTGTTTATTGCATCCTTGCATAAATACAATATTTTCACAATGTTTGAGTTATAACTGTACTTAACAGAAATGATTAGCTACAGAAGATCTTGTAACACTGAACAAATACGTTTGTTTTAAATTTTCAGTCTTGCTATGTAATCATGAAAATAGAACCAGCCAATCATTATCCACCATTCTTTACTTCTCATGAGAATAAATTTCTTGTGCCTGAGGTATGTACATTACTTTATTCTTGCTTATGTGGTGTGTTTGAAAAGTTTTTTAATCATCTGCTGTCATAATTTTTTTTATAATAAGAGTGCAAAATTAAAAATGTTTACCTAATTTAAAAAGAAAAAAGTACATTTAAATATTAATGTGATATTATTTAATTTAGGCAACAACTGGATGATAAAATTTAAAATGCTCTATCAATCTGAAAGTTAAAATTATAAGTTTCATGTTTTTTCAAATGTATATTTTTGTCTGTTTAGTATATATATATATATATATATATATGTACACAACATGGAACCTCATAGGTGCTACTTATACAGAGGTCATACACAATTATAAATTGCAAATGGAAAATTTATTATCACATGTAGTACAATATACTATTGTTGTATAATACATTAGTATTTTGTATTGGCTTTAAACGGAATAATACACCTTGTTTTTATGTACCATAAGTTTATTAATGTTGTATGATTGTGAAATGGTGTTCCAAATGACCTGTATTACTCCATGTTATTTAGCCAAGTTGTTTGGTTGCCATTTGACTGTCACTGTTTCCATATAAAGTATAAGCCTATACAACCTTAACAATACCAATATTGAGACTTTACATAGGCCAAATCATGATTGTGAGTGTTCCATTGGTTTATTTTTCCTTCCAACTATTGTTTCACAACATTTGCTGCATGTTTGTCATCACTGTTTTGCTAGAAAATGAATTCCTGCCCAACAGGTCTTGTTTTTGAGGGGATGACATGATGTATAACAGTTTGCTCCTACTTGTCAGCATTTAGGATGCCATCAATTTTTACTAGACTTCCAACTTCCAACTAGACTTTATTTCTTCCACCACCAAAGTGGACGGAGGTTATATTTTCACCCTTGTGAGTGTGTGTGTTTGTTTGTTTATGTGTTTGTCAACAAGATTTCTCAAAAATGGCTGAATGGATTTGGACAAAAGTTGGTATACATTTGGACTATGATCTAAGTAAATATCAGGTTCTGTGACAATAAACTATTTCTGACTATTAAATATTTCTGTTCCAATTTTGATTTTACTTCTTTTTTTTTAAATAACATCCTTAAAACAATAATTTAGAAATTTGATATAAAATGCATGCTGAGAGATCACATCAGTTTAGAAACCTGAGTGGGTCAATAAAATTTTATGAAATATATTTGTTCATATTTTATTACAATAATAATTTAATACATATATATATTATCTTTATTTCATAATAACCCTAATCACTCAATAAAATGAAAAGTTGTTGGGAAGCATAATTTAAAAGTAGAATATTGAAAATATGGAATTACATGTGTTTTA